ATATATTTATAAGTATGTGTATGTGTAAAGATATATTTAATAATTGGAATGCTTGAAAATATTTGCATTTTGTATTTGAAATGCTTCAAATGTATTTGCAACAAACAATATACACATACATACAAACATTCATAAATAATACGAGTATATGGGAGCGGGTTAAGTACAAAAGTAAATAAGTAGTTAAATGGGCTCACTATATAGATATATAGCTGTATGTGTAAGTGCAGACACTCCACGCCCGATAATACGCATAGCAAAGGGATGACTTGGCCCACTGATCCGCCAATCAGCTGATTTGCTGATTTGCTGTTTCTGCAGCTGCTTCACCTTCACATGGCTAAATTGAAAAGTATTTACAAAGCTAACGCTGACTGGCGCTGAGGTTGTGGCTGGATCTGGAGTTGGGGCAGCAGTCGGCGATGAGGACATTATGATTCGTCGCGATTGTTGTGCACCCACTGGGCGGGCACCCATTGGGGCTCGCGCTCCAGCGAATTGATCTCCGCCAGCAGCTGGTGATAAGCTCGCTCCGTGTCGTTGTTGATAATGATCATGTCGAAGAGGTGACCCCAGCGCGCCTCCATGTCTCGTGCGGTGGCGATGATGTCCTTCAGCTCCTCCTCCTGCCAAAAGGCAATAGCAATGATTTAAATAATGTGATTAATCGATTTCGATCTATCGATCGACTCTATGAAATTGATCGCAATCAGCGATAACGATAACGAAATAACGTACCTTGAACGGCTCGCCGTTGCGCAGTTTCTTCTGGCGCAGCTTGTCGAGACTGGGCGGTGCCACCAGCACCACATAGGGCTTCAGGTCGGAGGCACGCAGCAGCTTCAGGCTCTGCGGATGCAAGTTCAGCACACAAATCTTTCCACTGGCAACGACTGTGCGAATGGCCTCCAGTGATGTGCCTGCGATGGGAGAGATGATATGAATGCATCCATACCAAATGGTAGGCGTGGCATATTTACCATAGTAGGCCTTCTCGTATTCGCCATGCTCCACGAAGCGACGCGCCAGAATGTCTGCTTCGAAGGCTTGTCGCGTGATGAAATGATAATCCACGCCGGGCACCTCGCCCTCTCGCCGGGCACGGGATGTGTCTGCACATGTGGAAGAGAGGGAGTTGAAGTTAACGGATATCGATATCGAGAGACGGTAGTGCAAGGGTACTGAGGGAGTTGGGAGTAAAGAAGCCAGCACTGAGCAAAGACGCATCCGCAACACGAGAAGACTGAGAACTCGACTCATTCCTGAGGTAGATCCTATGAGACCTAAATAGTCAGCAAAGAGCTGGGGCTTATACAACGGAAAAGTGGAAACGCATTCTTCTGACAGACCCGCCGTGTTGCTGATGTGCTTTACTCAGGGCTTGGGTAATGCTAGCAATGCGCTGGGAATCAGTTGCGACTGCTTTACCCTTAGCTGGTTTAAGTTTCTCCTCAAGCAAATAGAAAACTGCGAGAGAGAGAGTAAGAGTAATTAAGACAGACAGAGATAGAGATAGATATAGAGATTGAGGCAGAGAGGGAAAGAGAGTCACAGGCTAAGCACGCCCATGCTGGGATAATGCGAAGCCTATCAGGGACCAATCCTCTACTTACGTGGCACTGCAGCCGAGAAACGCTCGGAGTCGGCCATCAGGCGCTGGCGTAGTTCGTGCCGGCCAATGTTGGGTGGGCCGATAAGGACAATGGGGCGCTTGTGAGTGGCGCGGGGGTAGTAGAGCGCAACCTCCTCGTAGGTGAGTATCTCCTCGGGGTCCGTTTCGTCGGGCGCTGTCGTAGCATACAGCGGATAGCTGCGATGGCATAGGAGATCGGTTAGAGAGTGTGCTACCAATCGGTCTAGCTGTCTTGTCGACTTACCCTGCCTCGGAGCTGGCCTTCTTCTTCTTCTTGCGGCCCTTGCGAGCGCAGAGAAGCGTTGCACCCTTGCTGGTGGCACCCTCCTTGCCGCGGGAGCGCGCCAGACCCGCCTCCTCGGCAATGGCTAGCTTCATGGTCTCGCGCTGATGCTGGAAGGACTGACTAGGAATGAGGCCGGCCAGCGTTTGATCTTCCTCGCCCTCGCGGTACGCCTGCCACCAGTTGGGATCCTCGCGGGATATCACATGCAGCACATCGCCCTTCTGGAAGCTGATGCCCAGCTCCCGGCACGGTATGTACAGATCATCCTCCGGATCATAGTCGAAGTGTGCCCGCACGTGCAGCACGGCCGTATCACGATGCGCCATCCCGCCCACGTGATGCATGCCCAGGCCGCTGCAGAGGCCGCCGCCGGGCGGCGGACTGCCGGCGGGCACAATCAAGAACGTGAGCGTGCCCTGCATGGCGCCCAACAGGGCGCACACCTCATTCACCGTCTTGCCCCGCAGCTCCTGACCATTCACCTCCAGTATCTCGTCGCCCTCGTGCAGCAGGCCGGACTTCTCGGCGGCACCGCCGCGCACGATGCGGCCGATGACCACCGCCTCGCCCTCGTTGCGCACCGTTGCGCCCAGCGGCTCGGTGGACTTCTCGATCTGTATGATGCGTATGTTGTCGTTCTGGTCGTTCAGCGTGCCGAAGCAGGCGCTCATGCCGGGTGGCGACTCGCCGCGCACGCCCACCGCCACAGGCAGCGGCATGGCTCCGCGCTGCGCCACCGAGCTGGCCACTGGCGGCACCACTGGCGGCAGCACCGCCATTGCCGCTCTGCCGCTCGCTGCGGCCGTGCCCGCTGCCTTGGCTCCAGCCACGGGACTGCTGTGGCCGCTCAGCGTGGTGGCCGTCGCCGTGGGCGTCTGTGAGGGCGTCGGCGTCGGCATGGGCGTCGGCATGGGCGAGGGCGACGCGTCCGTATGGCTGGCAATGCGGTCGTGCGCCAACAGCAGGCCCTCCATCTCGTGGCTGGTCAGCAGATTGCCCAGCTCAATGGCCGACGCCGTATTCGACTGCGTCAGCAGCTCCACAATCTCCTTCTGCAAGCCCAGCGCCCCGGAGTGCACCGGCCCGGCCACCCGCGGGCGCCTGCGCTGCAGCACCGCGCTCCTGGCGGCCAGCACATGGGCCACACTGGCGGTGGCCAGGACGTTATGCGCCGCCGACACTCGGCCCGCCAGGTTGCTCAGGCCGCTCTTCGCCAGCTGGCTCTGCAGGCGCGTCAGTGCCGCGATCAGCTCCCCGTAGCCTGCAAACAGAGTTGTGACACATTAGACAAGTTCATCCTAGTGCAAACAGAGGCTACGTCGTTTTCCTATATTTTGAGGCCTCTTTTAAAACTCAATTAGTGTTCCCCAGAGCCTTAAGGATCCGTTTTCTACACAATTTGTATATGCTGCGGCCATATTTTGAAGCATGGATTGGTTTCTCAAGTCATGATATGACAATGTATTATAGGGCAATAATAATAATATCGGGTTGGAAAGAATCTAATTTTAATTCATGAAATTTATGTAACTTTTGAAACGAATTGGTTCTCTAATCTATGGCTATATCAACAATAGATGTGCTATTCCATATTAATTCTATCTAGTTGAGTTAGGAGGAGGAGGGCATTTTGAGCATGTATCTAATTTATGGTGTATCGGTCGGATTGATGTTGATTAGTAATTCAATTTACAGTATTTCTAACACATACATATCAAAGAACAGTCATAAGACTCATTTGCCAGATAACAGGTTATATAAATTGGACAATCCGAATTGAATTCCTTCAAGAATATCTGAACATAATATCGATAGCTTACACAAAGCCGTCTGTCGGCCAGCATATTGCGATATCTAGTCTATAGTTTATCGGTCAAAGCGATGGTGATCAATAAATTAATACGCAGCTTCTGCAACATCCAAATGAAAGCAGTCTCATTTGATAATGGGATATATAAATCTGGCTTCATCGAAGCCTTGTGTCGAAATTTCACAACAATTTGACTAGCTGTTGGAGAAAAGCGGACTGAATTGCTCCAAGAATATCTGAGCATAACATCGAAAGTTTTCGTTAGACAGTTGCTGCTGATACACACAATCCTGTCTGACGTATTCACTGAGAACAGGATAAAGTCTGACAGCTGCTCGTTGGCCTTTGATCCCCCATAGTCCGTGCAGCTTTTGGCACTTACCATCGATGTGTTCCGCTGGCATTAGGTCCTCATCCGGCAGATATGCCTCGTTCTCGACGCCAGCAATTGTTGTTGCTGCTGCAGTCGCATGCTGCTGCTGCGCGAGCGCCTTCCCGGCCGTGGGCGTGGCTGTGGCCGTATCCTGAAGCGCCTTGAGCTTGCGTGAGCCACGCAAGCTGTTGCGTAGAAACTCATTCTGCTGGGCGATGCGCTCCTCCTCCTCGCGTCGACGTCGCAATTGCTCCTGCAAGAAACAAAGTGAACGAGTGCATGTGAGAGAGAGACAGAGACAGAGACAGAGCGAGGCAGCGAGGGGTGAGGAAGGGTTTCTTTGTGGTCAGTTGAACTTTGAGGCTTCAGCTGGCGCACTTAATCCGCTTTCGCGCACCGGCTTTATGGTAATTGAATTAGTAGTCTTTTCGAAGACCGGTGAGAAGGAGGAAAAATGCAAAGTGTATCGACTGCAGGCATACCCTGTAAAATTCCATGCATGCATGCATCAAATTCTTGCCACCTGCCACAAGCTCTGCGTGACATGCCACAAATGCCCCAAAAACCCATCGACCACAAGAGCGCAACGAGGAAGGGGTTGGCTATAAGGGGCGGGGTCGGATGGAGGACGCAGTGCGTGAGGCAGTGGCAAATGCTTAAAGAAGCGCCGCAGGTGCTCGGCTCGCATTAGGTCAATGGGCAAACAATACGACTCTATCCCTAACAATGCATGTCAAACTGTGCAGTAAAAATGCCACAAGTCTGCCGTTGGTTAAGCACGATAAAAAAAGGTCTAGTGAGAGTGAGAGAGAGAGAGAGAGAGAGTGAAAGAGAGAGAGAGAGAGAAGAGAGGGGGAGACAGCTGAACATCATTTAATAAATTGAGATTTCGAGTAGTATCTCTAGGAGATATACGAATATGCTTAGTACATAAAAATAGGTAATCCCAGTTTCTCGCCTATTTCACTATACTCCATTTGCATTCCATCAACAGGGTATACATTTCTTTAGGTATTAAAATATATATGCTTTGATTAAGTCATTGGTGAGAAAAGTTTTACAGTTCCGCCAGCATCCGTGGACTGTAACGCCCCAGAGTGCAGCATTTTTGTATAGCTAACTAGGAACTATAATTAAATCTTTAAAAGTTCTGAGTCATTGAGCAATCTAAGTGTTAGAATTTTAAAATTATAATAACATAACATAAACACGTCTATACTATACATATATTTGCTAGTTGAACAAATTGAAATATATGTATGTAATATTTATTATATTATGATATCAGATTTGTGTGAAGAGCTGGGGAACTGAAGCTCTATCAATAAGAAACACATACAAAGTTGCAAGCAAACGCGTGTCGAAGTTGAGATTTTGTGTTCCGCTTCAAGACTTTACCAAATCAGAGAGAAAGAGAAGTGGAGAGAGAGGGAGATGTGTAACGAGAGTGGCGGAGATAATAAATCTGGCCAAAATCTCAGCTGGGACCTTGCTGCCAATTTTCTCACACATTTGTCTTCGAAACAAAAGGAAAAAACTTAATTGAATAACAACAAAAGACGACGCTCAAAAGGCACACAAACAAAACTAAAGAGAATGAAAGATAGAGGGAGAGGGAGAGAGAAAGAGCAAGCAGAACAAAGAGAGCGGGAGAGCAACAAAAGCGAGAGTCAAATTCGCTGAACTTGCATAATATGAACTTGACGCAGCGCATGAGAAGCGCAAAGAGGGGCGTGCAACAAGAGGAGAAAGAAGAAGCGACATCAGCAAATATATTGCAGACAGTCTGCAGTGTAGACAGAGGGACAGGGCGAGAGCAAGCGGGAGGCGGGAGGCGGGAGGCCGGCTTGGGCTTGACGGGTAGCTCAGTCTGTTAGCGTGACTATGGAAAACGATAAAAGTTACAAAAAATAAAAAACGCGGTTGACATTGAACAAGAAACCTAAATAAAAGCAAAACAAAAATTTGTATTGAGAGTCTAGAACGGGAGTCTGGCAGCGTGCATACCCTATTTTCCATGCCGCTCGAGGGTATTGGTGCCCACACGCAGCTATCGATCGCAATTGAGATGCGCAATTTGATGGAATTCAATTTAAAAGAAGGCAGGGAAAGGGGCATGGGGCGTGGGGCCTGAGGCGTGGGGCGTGGGTCGTGGCACCCTTTTTGATCTTCCACTAAGCGCGCAGATCAACAAAAGAAAGACACGCTAAAGCTGCGGCTCATCAATCATCTGACAACAGCAACAGCAACAACAACAACAGAAGTGTGACAACAATTGTAAAACAAGTAAATGTAAACTGGCCGGCAGTGCTCGACTGACCGCTACCCTGGCGAGCTGACGACAACGAAATTCAGTTGAGTTCCCTCTTGCCTGAGCTTTAACCGGATTCTATTATTTTTGCATATGCAATAATTAGGTAACTGCCTTAAAAATTGTTAGCCAAAGTAATTTCTGTATATATTGCATGGAGTTGAGGCAATATACCCGCTTTGCTCAACAATTTACAGGGTATAGCAACCAGCAGCAACTCAATGCTAGTTCTACTTCTGGTTGTTGTTGCTGTGAATGTATAGACTATGACATCATCATCATTATTGTCGTTGTCAACCTCATTATCATCATCATCATCATTATTAACATTTTCGTCGTCGGCCACACAGTAAATATTGCAAATCGGCGTAACACAAAAATTAAAAATTTATTAACTTGCCTATTCGTTGTGTTTGTTTTTATTGTTATGCTCATTAACTTTTATATGCTGGGCATATTGGTTTCATTTCTGATTTTGTGACACGAATTGGAAAAACTTTCCTTTCAATGTCTATAATTGAGCAATATATCTTTTGTTATAGAAGATTGGCATAAGTAAAGTATAATCATTTTAATATGTCTTTATCTATATTTTCTTGAAAATCATTGTTGCTTGAAAAAAAAATAAAAATAAAAGTAAATAAAATAAATAAAGAAGAAAATATTTCCTTATCATCCATATCTCTAATCATAGGTTACTATAAGATAAGAACAATTTGGACAAACTTTAATTTTCATATCTTTCTTTCAATTAAAAAAAAAAGGTTGACAGCTCTAGTCTAGCTTGACTATGGAATCCCCTGAATCCTTAGAAAAGCAGATCATTCTACGCATGTTTTATGCACACACACATAAGCACAGCAGGACGAAGGGACAGGGGTAAGTACATACAACTTTTTATACCTTAGACTATTTAAAGATATACTAAGGTTATCCGAAAACCTATTTAACTCTCTGCGATCTGTCAAAGTTTAGCAATTATGGATTCTTTATTAAGCGACAAATTTTGAGCATCGCTTGGAGTTTGTATAAAATATTTCAGTGCAAATATTTGCTCATATGGAAATATGCTATCTCGATAGAGATTTTGTGCAAATAATTTGCAAATTTTCAGCTCAAAGTTTGGGGAAATGCGGGCTAACTGAACGAACCATGAACAGTTTGGGTTTGGGAAAAAGGCAAAACTTTTTTTTTTTTATAAAATGCTGTTAATCAGGAGCTCACTTTGAATTGCTGTTGTATATAATCATAATGATTATCATAAATGAAGTGACTTTTCTAGAGTATTAAAGTGTCTTTGTCAAAGAAATCTTCATGCTAAAGCTGCAAAGCTGTTGTTGTTGTCGAGCAACTGCGTCAGCCAGTTAGCCTAGTTTGCTGTTAACTGGTTGCCATTTGTTAGTTAGCATATATATATATATACTTATATATGTAGATAAAGCCAGCTGGCGATAGCAGCCGAAGGTTGCTGCCATTTAAAGGGAAACACAGCGACGGCAGCAGCAACTGTTGCTGTTGTTGCGCCTTGCCACACTTGCCTGTTGTTGTCGCAAACGCATCGAAGAGCGCTGAATTTGCGTGCCACGTCGCAGAGCTGAGCCGCTGCGATACGGCGTATTGCTGGCAGATGACGATCCTTGATGCTGCTGCTGCTGCTGCTGCTGTTGCTGCCAGAGTTGTTCGTTGTTCGTTGCATTGCCGTTCATATCACAATATTTGTTATTATTCATGCTAATGCTGTGGCTGCTCAAGCTGAAGCCTTGCTGCTCATTTTCCTTTTCAACTAACATTTGTGGCGGCTCTTTGTTGTTGTTGTTCATAATTTGATTATTATTATTATTGTTGTTGTTGTTGTTGCACAGCACATTTAATCTGTTAGGAACGATCGCAGCTGCTGTTGTCGTTAGCTGTTGCTGTTGCTGTAGCTGTTGCTGTTGCTGCTCGCCAGCAACATCGTTATCCACGCTTATGTGCAAAGTCGACAAGACCATTTTCTGCCTCTCTGATCTTTTGTTTCCCCCGATATTGTTTTTGTTTTTGTTTTCGTTTTTTACTGGATTGATTTGTCACATTGCTAGCTGCTGCTGCTGCTGCTATTTCAGAAATAGTTTATACAATTATTTGAAGCTGGCCACGCCCTAAACAGACATTCCACTGCCCCCCTTTTCGCTGCCATGCAAATGCTAATGCTCCACATTGACAGCTGCAACGCATAAATTTAACACTGAACGAAACTCGCTCTGCTCAGCTTTTGTTTCTGCATTTGTTTAACTCGTAAATGCAACTTAATGCGCATTTAAATGAAGCCTTAACAGCTGCTGTGGCTGGACAACAGAGACGGACAAACATTGCGAATAGGAGTGAGTGAGTGAGTGAGTGAGAGAGAGAGAGAGAGAAAGCGAAAGTTGCTGGCACTATAATGCCAATAGTTCTATGGCCATTCTCTCGTCCAACAGCAACGGCAACAGCAACAGCAACACTAACAGCAACACTAACAGCAGCAGCAGCAACATTTTTATGGACTTTCCATTCAACAAGCACTCGCAACGCTCGTGCGATTCACAACTAGTATGAAAAACTTGTTACTTTTATGCATTCATTTATTTATTTATTTACATAAATATATGTATATATATATGTTTTGTTTTGTTTTCATTCAATTGTTGCTGTTGTTGCTGCCGTTGCCGTTGCTGTTGCTGTTGCTGTTGCCCTTAACGTGCGGCGCATTGCAAATGAGACGCTGACGCTGACGCTGCCGTTGCTGCATTTTTTATGTTGACGTTCACGAAAAAAGCCGAAAAAAATCCCAAAAAAGCTGCTGTTTACGTTTAACTGTTTACTATGATAATTCATATTTTGTTGTTGCTGCTGCTTGGCGACATTTTCAATGCAAATCGAACGAGGCGTCGCGACGTGAGTCAGCGTCTAAGGGCAACAGCTGC